GAGGTAGAAACAAACAGCCAATGTGTGTGTGTTCTGTTCAGGTGTTGTCACGTAAATAACAGTGCCCAAGCAATAAACAGGACAGACAATAGGATCACTGAAAGCTGACCGAATCCGACCTGAGCCCGAATACAATTTATACATTTTTGCCCGAACCCGGAACAACCCGTCAGGACCCGTCGGGACTCGTCGGGCTCGGATCGGGTAGCCACACTCTAGTGTGTGTATGTGTCCCCTATCTATTGGGGCCTATCTGAATTCTTGAAGTCTTGTATTATTTTGTAATATAACTGAATTTTCTATCCATACATATAAACTTTAAATATATTAAAATTATAAGGCATCTTTGAGTAAACTGCGAGTATCAGTTAAGTAGGCTATGTCGTGTCCCCTTTTTTGGAAATCAAAATATGGTCACCCTATGTAAATGTACTGAGTGAAACAGGGTTGAAACTGATTTCTGTTTCCTGATTTATTTGTTTCTTTAACGTGAAGCTGCTTCCTACTGGCCACGTACGTTATAATTCCCATCTGAATGTTCCTGAATGACACTCATGCACGTTTGTTTACGTGCAGCACAGATGAGCATAATAACACTTTGAGCTTTTAAGTGTTGCTCACAAATTGCTTTTGTGAAGCGGGTCCTTGAACCAGAGCTTCAGCTTACAATAATAATACATTTTATTGGTGTAGTGCTTTCAAAGGTACTCAGAGGCACTTTACATGGTAAAAAAAGACAAAACATTAAAAGCAATAACAGAATAAAAACAACTACAACAATGGAAAGTGAAGGGGAGCTAATGGACTCACAGATTAAAAGGTGGGTTTTGAGTGCCGTTTTGAAAGACCAGTGTGACAGAGAATGTCTGAGGTGTTCATATAGAGTTCTAGAGGGAGCAGGCCCCGCCCCCTCCAGGTCTGGTGCTTGGACCGGGTGGACAGACTGTGGAGAGCTTTTAAGGTGATGAGGAGAATTTTGAACTGGATTCTTTGTTGAATATGGAGCCAGTGGAGGTTTTGAAGGACTGAGGTGATGTGATCTGGTGTGGAAGTGAGTGAGCAGCAGCCAGCTGTTAGGAAACATGGGCGGTGGGACAACATGTTCCTGTCAGGGCCCCTCAAATCACTATATCTCTGTGCAAAATTTTATACTTACTGCAATTATAATCCAATTAATCATATTGAGTAGTAATTTTTATTGTTTTGCTAAAAAGATGTCCTCTAATGAACGATTAGAGAAAAGTAAAATCAAACATTGAATGAAGAAATTACTGCAAGGTGTTAAATCCTGACTGAAAAACTGCTACTATGATCAAATACTGGTCAAATTGTGTGCAGATCTGAAATAATGTAAAGACTGTATGGCTTTGCAGTGTTATTTGGCCCCCTTTCAAACAAGATAGTTGGTACCAATGGATGCTCTAGTTTAATCTGATGTCTTGTCTTCACTGTAGCTTTATAACTGAGCCGATACAGCAGGTTTTAGTTGCTAAAAATTACTCTGCCTCACTTCTCGCCTTCAGCTCTGCCTGTCGTACCTGCTGCTTCTTCACATTAATTTGTGAGACATTTGTCCATCACCTCTTTTCTCCTTTCATTTTCTCGTTCTCTCTGTATCCTGGATTCTCCTCAAGCAGCATCTGAACCTCTCTTTTAAATGAACCGCATCATTACACAATACCTGCAGGCGGCTGGGAGTATCAGAGGGAACACTGAAATGTGCTTTAATGATAAAAATACATTTATCATGTAAATACTCATAACTTGATTTAAGTCAGTGAGTATATTGTTGTACTTGATCCTATTTAAGGGTCAACCATAGACCTTTTCATGGGCCCCCCCTTGGCCTTGGGACAGAGTCATCTCTACCCTTTGACCCTCCTGATGGCGGTCCTGGTGAGCAGATTGCAGACTGCATGTCAGCTCTGGAGTCAGATTTCTATCTGATCATGGATGTTTAATGTGAAGAGTCTGTCTGGGAGGTGCAGCTTTAGTGTCTGACAGTGCTGTGAAGGAGTAGTTTAGGGTTAAAAACACCTTTAAGTGTATTTAGATCGAGTTATCATAGCTGCTGTACTGTGTAGCCCATTTTACACTGCCTGTTCAATGTGGAAATGTTGCACCATTCTTCCACCTTGCCGCTCTGTATAAAAGGTGTGATCATGAAATGAAGGAACAGATTTTTTACCCTTGAAGCCAACAGCAGAGATAGTTGAAGTGCCTAATCAGTGTGAAAAACTTAGCTGTATGAGGAGAACTGGCTCCAGCTTTGGAGGCGAGGCCTCGTTCATTCCTGTCAAAGTTGCTAAGTGGTGCATGGAGCCACAACAGTTTGACCCCCCCCAGGTACATCAATACCTAGATCTTCCCCATAATTGGGCCCACTGAGCAAGTGCACTCAAATTTTCACGAGCCCAGCAGCCACTTCCAGTTTAGCCCTCCACTAACTTGAATGGGAATAAAAAGATTTAATCGTGCTGCTCTTCTAGAGTTCCAAAAATGTTATCGAATAGAATGGATGAAATCCCAATAGTGAAACAAATCATTCATCCTCTGATTTACTGATGCCTCTGAGTCTGTGGGAGAGAAAATCTTTTGGGGCCTAATGACATCATGTGACAGATCCGGAAGTTGTAACTACATTATTTAGCCACTATAAAAATTACATGTCACGCTTCTTTTGCTTCTGGAACGTCAGCATGCTGTCTACAATCACACACTGGGGCTGCATGATGGCTGCATTGTTTGGTTCTGTGTAAAAAAAGTCAAGCTGACGTAATGAGGGGTCTGTGTTTCAGGAATATTTTTGGATCTCTGTGTAAAAAGGGCTCATGAGTCCCATGATCTCTGATTGGACGAGAAGGAGAACGTGAACACTCACCTACTACGACAGGTAGCACCTTCATAGCTTTCCTCTCCCTGCTGTTGATCTTGGCTCTCTTCTTCCTGTGCTGCTGCTGACTGAACGTTACCGTGGGCACAGAGTTCTCTCTGTACTGCCGAGGATAAGGAATCTCCTGCTGTATGTAGTCGCCCGTATCGTCTAGCCGAGACTGGGCCAAGTCCCTCTCGATGATCCTGGGCAGAGGCATGGGCAGAGGCCCGGGGATGGTGCCCGTCAGCGGGGGGAGGGCGGTGGCGACAGCGGCGTGCTGCAGCTTCCTGCAGGCCTCGATGCTGCTGCGCAGTTTGACCTTACGGGCCTCCTCCCAGTGCCGCAGGCCACGGAAAACCCCGAAGTAGAGCAGGACCATGATAGGGCAGGGGATGAAGAAGGAGCAGACTGAAGAGTAAACCACGTAGTTGTTGTCCTCCAGTTTGCACTCGCTGGGGTCGCGGTCAGGCACGTTGTTGATGCCAAAGATGACCGGCGAGGCCACGGCCAGGGCCAGCAGCCAGGTGGCCGACAGCAGGATGAGCTGACGGTGGTCCACATGTTTACGGTTGTAGTTCAGAGGGATGGACACGGCAATGAACCTGCAGGACACAGGAAGAAGGGTTAGAACTAGGGCTGTAGTCTCCTGGTCGACTAGTCGATTATTTGGTCGCTATGCTCTCGTCTGACCAAATTCTCATTGGTTGAATAATTGCCGTGTTACTTTCATAAGGAGAAAAGTGCTACATCAACAGCTTTCCAGGATTAATCCATTATTTCCTGCGGTGGGGGGACAGGCTAAGTTACCTGTGAAAATAGGGGTGTGTTCAAAACACCCCCGTTGTTGACAGAAAGTTGAACTCGCCCACCCTCACGCTCAGCGTTGCGGTGACACAGACCTCCTGTCTGTCTCTGTAAGCTGACACCATTTCCCTCAGTGGAAAGAAGCTTGTATTTACTTGTATTTCACAGATAAGAAACAATAAATTGTGAAGACAGTAAAGCCTCCACTAAAATAGCAAGAGTCAGACACGAGTCTCACCACACTGCCTTTTTTTTTGTTAAACTGACTGCCACGAGTAAAAGACGTTTGCTGCACCTTATTATTGTTGCCAGGCAACCACCCCATCACCTCCTCGCCCTAACCTTCCCATGTAATCAATCTAGCATTTATTTATTGTATGTATCCTGCAGTGATCAGTGTGTAGCTGCTGCCATGTTGAGGCAGAGGGTGCTGTTTGTAGCTCTGGTTGAGGGTGAGAGGCTGTCAGCAGATAAACAGAGATCTGTGTGGGTACATGAGACCCTAAAAAAGAGGCTGGATCATGGGGAGTACCACCAGTTGGTCCAGGAGCTTCTCCTCCAT